AGTATATATATATATACTGTATGTATTATTGCACATATAATACACATAGCACATATAAATTACACAACTTTCAGTCACAAATTGCCCATCTTTAAATCAAGTTTTTCTTTACTAYAGAAGAAAAAGTAAGTCGTAGTATTAGGACTAAAAACGTCATTAGCACTTCTGCTGTATGTTTTTGTGCAGATTGGATATTTTTTCATAATGTTTTTAAAATACAAATAATAAAAGCCCCACACATTTAAAAATGGCTCAGTATGTAAATTTTTGTTTAATTGTGAAAAGTAAGGAGTTTTACAAGTGAAAATGTTAGAACCTTGTTAGATGTTCGTTTTGATCTCTGGGTGTTTTACCATCAGGACAGAGAATCTGTCTCACATGGTCTTTCATTAAACTAACCAAACTCTGTTTCTGGAAGATGAATGCTAAAGTTAGAAAGGAGTTGACGGTTTAAAACRTGTCTGGTTTGTGTATCCAGAGACGGAGCAGCAGTGGAGATTGTTGGTCTGTGTAAATCAGCAGTGCGTTGGCTCGTAGAGCTGCACACTAAGGGGCTCTTCCCTTATGACGGTGCTACAGTGGACAGAGATGGTATTTATTTTCTACAGGAGCACCATTGTCTCACAGATTTATAGATAATTGTGTTTTACTTGAAGCTCTGTTGTGTTTCAGGTAAAAAGGTGTTTGTCTCTTACGCCTCATGGAACCAGCAGCTCCAGCAGGCTTTTGAAGTTGCATTTTGGGTGTCTGGGGACCCACAAGACCCCCATGAGGAGCACCCTGACCTGGTGCATAAGAGTAACATTTATAAAGATAGTTATGGAGCTTCCAGTCCATGGTGTGACTACCAGCTGAGACCCAACTTTACTATAGCCATGGTGGTGGTACGTAAATAAAGACCACAGCTCCACTGATGGATGCTGGAAGTGTGAAAGCAGAAGTGAAACCATATCCCTGTGGTGTCTGTGTGACAGGCTCCAGAGCTGTTCTCAGTGGACAGAGCCTGGAAGGCTTTYGAGCAGGCTGAGAAGAAACTACTGGGACCACTGGGAATGAAAACACTGGACCCAGAGTAAAACATGCTACAAATACACACTGAATATTTCACTTTCTGTTTCAATGCTGGTGTTGGTGGTTGTGGAAACAAGTATAAACTGTATGTAAATGACTTAGTATTTCCAGTATTTGTACTTGAAGTAGTTAGTAATCAGTAGTTTTAGTTAAATTCTATTGAAAATGTTGTTAACAGTGTTTGTGTTGCTTTAGTGACATGGTGTACTGTGGTGTGTACGATAACGCACTGGARAACGACAACTATAACCTGGCCAAAGGCTTCAACTACCACCAAGGACCGGTGAGTGAGAGCAGACCTCTGCTGCAGTGTTTTCACACAAACATGTTAGAGTTTAGCTTTAGAGCTGTGAGGCATTTTAATAAGCCTACAATGCAACAGAAGAAACTCACCAAGAACGTACCATCCAAACTTGTGTTAATCTACAGTATTTCTGTGTGTATAATGTAAAATATTTAATCCCAAACACCATCCATCACGTTGGGGAGTCACAGCTGGTACACATGGGAGTAAATGTTGGCAGAGAATAAATTTCACTSTTTTCTTGTATATAACTAAATTATTGCATCGCAGGGATAAATCATCATCATCCCTCCATCCTCTCCCTGTAGATTGTGTTGCTCAGCTCAGCACTGCTTCTTCACACTGGAGTTGTTTACTGAGTAAAAAGCAAGTTTGACATAATTTCTCATGTTTTTGGACATCATATGTTGTGGAAGCAGTGAGGGTAGCTCTAATATTTTAGCCTTTTTTATTTAATAAATAATGACATGCTGCTGCTACCTTTCTGGCTAGAGTTTGCATGTTCTCTCCGTGCATGCGTGGGTTTTCTCCGGGTACTCCGGCTTCCTCCCACAGACCAAAAACATGACTGTTAGTTTAACCGATAACTCTAAACTGTCCCTAGGTGTGAGTGAGAGAGTGAATGGTTGTTTGTCTCTGTGTGTGTCTGTGATGGACTGGAGACCCTTCCAGGGTGTACCCCGCCCCTCACACTGACTGGTGGATATGGGCACCAGTGACCCTGAATGGAAGCAGCAGGTATTGACCCTTTGCACATGACGTCATGCACCTCAGAAGACCGCCCCTTTTTTCCATGTTGGATGGCAGAAACAGACATGGGTCCATKAGKTACTATTGAGCTGGAGGAGAATCAGGCAGTTGGTAGCCTGATATCGTTCTTTCCCTCCTGTTGATTTAGCTGTGAAACTGGTCTTCAGCTGCTGCGCAGTCGGCTGCACAAACAGACAATAAACAAACCAAACTTGTCCTTTTATCGTAGTCTGAAGCTGCTGCGCAGTCGGCCAGATCTGGAGACTCTCCTGTTAACTGGACCAGAGTGTCTCTCTGGTTTCAGACCACTGTGCTGCTGGTTCTAAAATATTATAATCTGTCCGTCTGCCCACCTGCAGCCCTCCATGTCATAGTGAAGATACAAACAACAGTGATAGCTGGAAATATAGTTGTTTTTACTCAGTGTTGAGTCAGTGTTGTTGAGTGAAAGGTCGGAGGAGGAGAAGCTTTTTATATTTTTTTCCACGTTGATGGAGTAAACACCAGTTGTGCATTCAGGTCATAAAATCAGACCAGCTGATCATCAAAGCTGTTCATCTTTTTAATTTAACTGGGAATGGATCATTTCAGCTAAATATTGAACAGAAAGAAGCTCAGCTCAGAGTGCTGTTGTACCTGGAGCTGGTTAACATGAAGAGAAGCTACTAGCTTGTTAGCCTGCTAGCCTGCTAGCTGTCGTCGGCTCTAAAAACCATCCATCCGTACAGATATGAACCAGTCACACAGAGTGGAGAAAGCACTGCTCAGACAGAAGATCTGATGAAGAAAATAAGTCAGAAAGTGTCTCTGACTGGATTCATKAGGTCTGACGCTAACGTTAGTATATCTGCTCAGTGGGATCTCAGGAAGCAGACACTTAATGAAACACGAGCGTCAGACAGAGGTCGCTTTGAAAAACATCTGGAATCACGTATGGAATCATCACGTATGGAATCATCACGTATGGAATCATCACGTATGGAATCATCACGTATGGAATCATCACGTATGGAATCATCACGTATGGAATCAGCAAATAAAAATACATTAACAAGCAAGTCTTACCAAGGCCATTATGAGAACCTAACAAACACGTCCAGAGGGAGAAGATATGGGTCCATTTCTAAGCTAGCTATGTCCAACTTCTGTAAATAACGCTGTCTGTGAGCCCCAACCAGGTGTGTGACTTCCACAGATAAATTATCTCAACTGGAACAAGTAGAAACCATGGCAAAAACAAAAAACAACTTCAAAAAACAATCACTGCCTTTTAATTCAGTACACCGCTCCGTGTCTTCTGCCGTCCGACATGCTGGTATCACATGAGTTTGTCACGTGGGTGCAAAGGGTCAGTAGATAATGGATGGATGGATAATGACATGGTGAACAGTTCATCCCCTCTGCAGAATCACAACCTTAACATAGAGGAGGGCTTTGAGTACCCTCATGATCCAGGAGTATGTTTTCTGGGGCAGGGAGTCCCAAACTTTTCCATGTCAGGACCCCCAAACAGCATTTGTTTCTGACCAGGAACCCTCCTTGCAAACACACAAAAAAATAAATAAATAAAAGTAGAAACATTAACTTTTACAAAGTTTTTTTCTCATTTTTATTCAATAATTATTACATTTGTTCAGTGTCAGAATCTTATTAACGAACATGTTTTAAACACTGTTAAA